CTCGTAACAACATATATGAATATTATTACTTGTCACTAAGGCCATAATGAGTCTGCCCTTTTGACCATCTCATAGATAATGAGTCCACTCTTTTGGCCATCTCACATATAATGAGTCCGCCCTTATGGTCATCTCACATTTACCACTAAGGCTATATTTTGTCTTTAAGGCTATAAACATTCCCACCATACTTTCATAAGTCAACACTTTCATATTCTTGCTCAATCGTAATTGCATCCGTAATTCAAGCGACGGTATATGAGTTAGTACACTCACTTTGAGTTGGTATCTACATCAAGTTCAATCTCCTATTGGTGCTTTAGGTAGAATGACCAATGATGTAGATGCCTCTATAATTTACACACGGGTTATCACAAATTGCGTTTAAATATTCCATATGTTGTAATATCCTAAGTGCTCATATATATATATATATATATATATATATATATCCTCGTATGCTTAAGTTAATACATTGCAAATTCTTTCACTTAGAATTTTCCCTTAGCGTTTAGGTTCTTCCTTGCTAATCCTTATCATCTAACGTCATATTCGTATTTAAGTGTCAATCAAATAGTTGAGGCTAGGTCAAGCTGACCCTTTAAGGATTAGTTTTAGCCCTATATAATGTATTTGGGAAGCCTAAAGAATGAATGGTTAGATGATTAGGGGTTTCCGTGGCAAGATACTAAGTTAGCCTTGTGGTACCAGTGCAAATCCTACTGGTACACCACAAAACAAAATACTCTCCTACCAGTACAACTATAGTTCCTACCGGTAGAACACAAATAAAACATCTTCCAACCGGTACAACTATGGTTCCTACCGGGAGTACAACATTTGGTTTTCCGTACCTCCCGCCATCTTCCTTCCATTCCTACCATTTATTACTGTAGGAGGATAAAAATCACCATACCTCCTAAGCTTTATGAAAGAATTTTCCCTCCTTAAAAGTACTACTTGCAAAAAGGAACAAACTATTTAGGATCGAAGTGCTTCAATTAAAGACACTCCAATGCTTAAATCAATAAATGTGTATGAAGAAAATGTATATCAAAAAGATTCAACTTACCTCTTACCATGCATCCTTACTACTTTATATAGACTTCCCCTTGTTTCAAGGACTCTCTTTACTAGTGTGGGAGATGGCAGATCCCCCTTCATTCAGGATTGTTTGTTGGGAGTCTCATAAATCTCGCTAATGCTCCCTTAATTAGAGCTCTTCTGAGTCATTGACTCTATCTAGCTGTTACACCTAAATTCCTTGATTATAGGCGATTATTCCGTTGCTCGATTTATGTCATGCCTTCAAGTCGTGTTGTGCACTCATGCTCGATGGCATGAACCGAGTTATTGCAATTCGATTCGATTTGCTCTAGACTACTGGTACCTAAGCCCTACGTGACCAGTCCCTTCATGATCACGTGCCTATTTCACCTGCCTGTACATATGGCATAATTTTATGCCCCTTCAATTACCATTACACCACCCCTTACCCTAGTATCCAGTGACCTTAAATACATGAATTGTAGGGCTAGAGAGATACCGACTTGAAAACTCTTTTCCAGAATTTCACCAAAACCATCGAGTGGCCCAATTGGGTACTCTAAGACTCCAACACCTCCCTATACCACCCAAGGTCACTATAATCATCCAAATTCTCATGCTTACCAATTACCCATGATGATCATAAAGAAAAGAAGAGATTGAAGATGATGGTTTTTAATTAAAGAAAGCTAATTTTCCCTCACCCAAATCCAAGCTCTCCTCCGGAAGTTGGTGATCTCCACAAGCTTCAACACTCCTTCAATACTTCTCCAAGGCCAAGAGTAGAGACATGCAAGAGTGGAATCTCCACCGTGCTCTCCACCGATATTTCCCTAGCTAGGGGAGTCTTTGGGTTGGACAAGTGTACCCCCATGCAATGTTACATACACACACACATATACAGCATACCCATTATGCACACATATACATGTTTATATATATTTATAAGATCTGCACGTATCTAAACACGCGCATCCCAATATATATACACCCACTAACCGTTAATTTTTGATTCCACAATTAATCCTACATTAGTTACCCAAACACATCCTACACTTTTTAATTTTCGAAATTTAAATTCCGAAATTATTATCGAAGCTCTTATTTTTACTTCTTATAGTGCCAGTAATTTTAATTTAAATTACATGACTAAAATAAATATTCGCATCAAAACCCTCGACACAATACGAAGTGCCTAATTTACATGTTCGGGTTTCACAGAAGTGCTGTAAATTCATCAGTCATCGCTAGTTGCCACCCAAGAGATTTAGATACTTGAGAATAAGACTCTGCAGGAGTTGAAACAGCTGAATATACCTTCCTTTTTGGTAATGTGTCTAACTTGCTCCTAGTTTGCATTGGATGAGCATTAGCATTAGGGAGCAACTCAGGACTGGAAAAAGCAAGTTGAGCATTAGAGTGAGATAGCAACTCAGGACTAGAAGAAGCATATATGTTGAGAAGATGCTAAAACAGAAGGAGCTAAAGAAGAAGAAGAATTGGGAATAGGTTGACCATCGAGAGGTAAAGACAAAAGTAAAGGTGCAAAAGTAGAACTAGTTAAAGGAGAATTGGCAGAAAGGACAGATGAATGAAGAGAAATCTCTGATGATGCTAGCCAAGAATGGAACGTTTGGATTGGGTAGAAGGAAACCAAGGATCAAAATTAAAGGATAGTGTTTAGGTTCAAGAGTGTGCTGAGCAAAAAGAAAGATGATTTCATAAAAAATCACCTCTAGATGTGTTTAGCCCATTGGTTGTTGGATCATAGTAGAAATAACATTTATACTCCGAAAAAAATTACCTTCCGAAAAAAAAAAAACATTTATACTCCGAAGGATAAAAACAAGTGAGAAAAAAGGGGAGGACAAATCGGAGTAGATAATAGTAAGGGTATGAAGGTCTTCTTCGCAATGGTCTCTAAGAACACCTCTTATAGACTCCCTATTTTCATTGATTCTTTATTTTAAGGAGTCAACCACTAAAGATCAAGATTTATGCAATTATTGAATGGTTAAAGTGCTATATAACCAAAGGTCTAATCTTACCTTACCTTGCACCTCGAAAGATTACTCAAATCTTAATTTGCATCTTCAAAGTTTAAAAATATTAATTTATACCTTATTATATCAATGTGTACCTGGGATAACTCTGTCCATTTTTTTGTTAAAAAAGTTTGGACTAATTATAAATTATACCTTCAAAGTTTAAATATTTTATATATATGATCAAAAAAAATTTCATCTATTAATACTCGTAAATAACTCTTAATTGTATCATATTACAACATCTTCATGTCGTGTTTGAATTAATAAAAAATATTTTTTAAAATTTAAAAAAAAATATAAATATTTATTTTTTGTCTAAAATACTCTTTAAATAATTATTTTTTGTCTACAATTAGACACAAATCTTTTTATTGTTTGATTAAATTAAAGTTAGATACGAATAACACAACTGTAGACACAAAATAATTATTTAACAAGTATTATAAACAAAAAATAATTATTTTTTAATTTTTAAAAAATATTAAATAGTATTATATGAATTATAGTAAATCAACGCAATTAACTCGGCACGAAAATATTCTTTGTTAAAAATATTTTTTATTGATTTGAATACGACACGAAAATATTATGATACGATATAATTGAGAGCTATTTAACGAGTATTAGTAGATGAAATTCTTTTTAGATTATAAATGTAAAAATATTTAAACTTTGAGGGGTAAAACTTATAATTAATCCAAACTTTTTAACGGAGAAATATATGTTAGTTAGTTTCAGTGCACATTAATATATATTTATACCTTTTAAAGTATAAATTAATATTTTTAAATTTTAATGGTATATATTAAAATTCGAATCATCGGAAGAAGTTGAGATTTGCCCATAACAAAATCACATTGAAAAAAAGGTGGAATTTTCCCATAAAATTTAGTTTTTTTGGACAACGTTACCCTCCGACACATGTCTAAATATCCCTTTCCCCACACCACCGCACTTCATATGCAGGCTACTACATCCACCCAAACGTCCTCACCAGTGTTTTAAAATTCGACCCGGCCGGACGGGTCAACCCAAAAAATTGGTGAATCGGTGCCTGAGCCGGATCGATTCTTTAATTAGATCAGTCCAACAAATAACCCACTTAAAAACTGCTCAAAGACCCACTTAAAAACTGCTCAAACCAACTTAAATCGGTCACCTTTTAGGAACACGTAAAAATCGGTCCAATTATCACAAGTCCGATTTTCACAAATCCATTTTCATACGGGAGCTTAAACATAAAAAAATTAAACTTCAATCAAGACCCAAACTTCAAAGCACAAACATAACATATTCAAACCAAAATACTTGGAGGCTGACATTAAGCTTGACCACTAGCTACAAGTGGAGAAGTGAAACACTTTTATAGGTGCAAATTTCTTAGAACCACCTGTGAATTTTCGATATGGGATAGGTAGTACACTTAAACTCTCCTTGTTTTTTTTATCAATTTTGCTTTTAGTTTTTTAGGCATCATATTATTATTATTTATACTAAATATTTAATATTTTTTAGTGAATTATTTTATGCTCTGTCAAATTATATCAATTATGTAAGCAAATTAATGATTTGAAGATATTTTTTGTCTTTTTATTCATTTATTATAACATAAAATATATTATTTTTGTAACTATTATAATTTTTTAACATAATTATTATTATTATTTATTATTAATTATATCATCAATTTGATTGATTGATTCACGGGCGAAACAATAATTCATTGATTCGATCACTTTGTAGAATTAGTGTCCGGACCGGATTTTAAAATTATGTGGCCGGACCGGATTTTAAAACTATGGTCGACACTCCTCCCACTAGAAGTCTAGAACTCTCAGTCACTGCTCCTCTTTGAAAAGATCACCCCTCACTTCTCTCACTCTCTCTCTCTCACCATCAAAATTCATGGCCGCCGCAGCACCACCGCCACCACCAGCACCAGCCCCCGAGCCCAATCTCACCCTCCCAGAAGACCACCCGATCGGCCACCCACTCTTCGCCCGAATCCGGCTAGCCACACCCACCGACGTCCCCCACATCCACAAACTCATCCACCAAATGGCCGTCTTCGAACGCCTTACCCACCTCTTCTCCGCCACCGAATCCTCTCTCTCCTCCACCCTGTTCAACCCCAACAACCCACCCTTCCACTCCTTCACCGTCTTCATCCTCGAAGTCTCCCCCAACCCCGTACCCTCCACCACTCACCCCCACTTCACTCCGATCCTCAAAACCATCAATCTCGATCTACCCATTACCGACCCAGAACAGGAAATCTTCAAATCGCATGGAAACAACGTCGTTGTTGCTGGGTTTGTGTTGTTTTTCCCGAATTATTCGACTTTTTTAGCGAAGCCAGGGTTCTATGTGGAGGATCTTTTCGTGAGAGAGTGCTATAGGAGGAAAGGGTTGGGAAAGATGCTATTGTCTGCGGTGGCGGCTCAGGCGTCGAAGATGGGGTATGGGAGGGTGGAGTGGGTTGTGCTGGACTGGAATGTGAATGCCATCAGGTTCTATGAGGAAATGGGAGCGAAAGTTCTGCAAGAATGGAGGATCTGTAGGTTGACTGGTGAGGCTCTTCAGGCTTATGCTAATGCTAATTGATCATGATCATGACTTGGGTTTTCTTTCTTTTTCATTTTGAAAATTGGGTTTTTTTTTTTTTTCTGTAATGGTTGATGATTTAGACTATCTTAATTTGGGGAATTAGGGTTAGGGTTCTGAGAGATGTATGATGGTGCTCTGTTTCTGAATTAGATGCTGATTGAAAATGTACCTCTACATTTTTCTCCAATAATTTTACTTCAATCTACAGTGGGCTTTTGAATATGTCATTTAGTTTTACTCATATAGTTGGTTACCACTCTGTTAGATACTTCTTACTATGATGCCATTTTTCATTTCCTCGGTTATTGGTGCTTAGAATTGTTCTGTTTTTCAGTTGTTGAGATATTGATAACAATGAGTCACATCATTGATCTTAACAACTGCACTGCAGATGATTTGGTGTATATTGTGGTGCACATTTTTGGTACACATAGTTTTATCCGTTTGAATCCTACACTTCACCTCTTAAAATTTTCAGTTTTTGGTTAGGGTTCTTGGAGATGTATGTATGATGGTGGTGCTCTGTTTCTGAATTAAATTCCAATTTTAAATGTGCCTCTTCATTTTTGTCAAGTAATTTTACTTCAACCCTATTTGGACGTATGAATATTTCTTCTACCTCTACTAAATATTTGGTTGCCATTCTGTTTTGCTACTTTTGACTTCGATGCCTATTTTTGTTTTTCTTTTCTTTTCTTTTCTTTTGGTGTATAGGAATGTTTCTGTAAGCGGACAAAATTCCTTCTATCCTCTGGGAACGGTGTTGCCCTTCCTCGAGTCAAGTTTCCGGTAAAACGAAAAAATTGCCTAAGATTGAAGTGCTTCGATCGAAGACACTCCGATGCATAAGTCAGTAGTTGTAAATCAAAAAGAATGTGCTATGGAAGGATTCAATGTAGCTTTTACTATGCATCTTCGCTGACTTATATAGACTTCAGTGATCCCACTTTTTGTGGAAGAAGATGGCACATCTCTCTAATGCTCCTTTAATCTCAGCTCATGAGCTGTTGGATTTATTAACTAGGTAGTACTGTTGAATCTCTTAAAGGCAGGGAGTGATCACGTTGTTCGGTTCTTATCTTGATGCGATCAGATCCTTTTGTTCGGTCATACTACCGATCTATAGTTCGGTTCGGTTCGGTTCTGGGAGAGTCTAAACCTCACATGGCTCCTACGTGATGGTTTACCCACGTGGGTTGATTTTATGCCCCTTCAGTTTCTGTTTTTCTTATGCTGATATTGATGACAATGAGAATACTAATAATTGTTGCGAACCCTTTGTAGTTTGGGTCCTAACAATCTAATTCTCTATGTTTAAATCCAATATCTCCCCCCCCCCCCCTTTGCCTTCCTTCCCAACCCCACCCTCCCCTCCCCCAAAAAATAATAATAATAATAATAATTTTGAGTTGTGGACTGTTACTTGTACAATGTCCATTACTTGATGGTCACAAGTGAAATTTAAAAAAATCAAAATTTTGCAAAAATAAATATCATACCATTGCCTTTCTTTTAGGCTCGGAAATCAGTCAAGTCTGATATATTTTTTTATCTAAAAAAAATTTTAAGTATAAAAAATGACAATTTTTGGTCCCTGACAACAGGATGGACCGGCCAGGTCCGGCTTGGGATATTTCAGCCCATAGCCCGCCCATGGGCCAGGCCTCTGGGCTCTAACTAATCAACGGACGGGCTGGGGCTGCCCATTAGGAATTTAAGGCCCATGGCCCACCTGTGGGGTGGCTTATTGGGCCAAAAATAGGCTAAATACGAGTTGGGCTTTATGAGCCGCCCATTGGACACAGAATGAGTTTTTTATTAAAAAACTTTTTTTTAAGTAAAAAGACATCAAAAAATTTATTTTTTATATAAAAATTACAAAAATGCATCAATAACATGAACTTGGTATGAAAAAATAAATTAACAAAAAAATTATTTATATCGATTGAATTTAATAAATATTCATATGGAGTTATAATGTTACATTACAAATTAATTGATGGGTGAGATTATTTTACATCACTGTAAATTGAGTACATTCTAACTAAGTTGACACTTACACAATTGTCAAACATTTGTAAGTTTCAACCTTATAAAAGTTACATATCAAATATCAAATAAACAATATAATTATGAAATATAATCTAACTAATTATTGTTTGTGCCTGAAGGCACAGAATAATAAAAAATAGTAAACAATAAACATATTTGTATTTATATCTAAAATCAAATCACAATATATACAAAAAAAATAAATAAATTTAAGTATCGGTTGTAGTGGAAGTGAGAGCTGGTGGACGGCAGTGGTGATGGAAAGAGATGATGATGGTTGTGGTGGATGACAATAATTATGATGGCGACGGAGGTGGTGGCGGTGGCTGCGGTGGTGGTGGTGGCGGCAGTGGTGGCGGCAACAGTGGTGGGGGTAGGGGTAGGGGTGGTAGAGGTAGTGGTGAGATGTTTTCAAATACTATTTTTTTTTTTAAGTATTTATGATAAATAATTTTTAAAAGTATTTTTAAAAAGTCACTCCAAACATACCCTTAGGATTCTATTTTTCCTATTAAATTTAGAGTGTTAATATTAGCTGTTAGATTAACTTTAAAGTAAAATTTAAAGTGATCTCAACCGCGAATAGCAAAAATCATTTTGTTTATTTTTTGAGATTTGAATTGTAAACTACTTTATTATATAACTAGTTATTACATGTGCCTGAAAGCACAGAGTAATAAAAAATGGTAAACAATAAATATATTTGTATCCATATCCAAAATTAAATCTCAAATATAAAGAAGAGATAAATGAATTTAAACATTAGTTTGTAGTGGAAATAAGAAATAGTGAGCGGTAGTGGTTGTGGTGGTAGGAGACATAAATAGTTGTGGTGGCGGTGGCAGTGGCGGCGGCAATGATGATGGTGGTGGCGGTGACAACAATAGTGGTGGTGGTGGCGACGGCGGTGGCAATGGTGGAGGCGGTGGTGGTGATAGTGGCAGCGATGACAACGGTGGTGGTGGTGGTGGTGGTGGTGGTGGTGACGATAGCGGTGGAGATGGAGGTAGCGGTGGTGGTGGCAACAGTGACGGTGGTGGGGGTGGCGGTAGTGGCGGTGGTGGTGATGGTGGCAGCGGTAGGTGGTGGTGGTGGTGGCGGCGGTGGAGGCAATGGCGTCGGCAGCGACCACAGTAGTGGTGGCGACGATGGCGACAATGGTGGTGGCGGCGATGACATTAATAGTGGAGGTGGTGGTGGCGGTAAAGGTAGTGGTGGGGCGGTTTCAAACACTATATTTTTTTTAAGTATTTATGAGAAATAATTTCTAAAAATACTTTTAAAAAGTCACTCCAAACACACCATTAAGGGTCTATTTTTCATATTAAATTTTGGGTGTTAATATTAACCGTTAAATTAACTTTAAAGTAAAATTTAAAGTGATTTCAATCACGAATAGCAAAAGTCATTTTGTTTATGTTTTGAAATTTGAATTGTAAACTACTTTATTGTATAAATTATTTTTTTCCAACGGACATATTTTATTAGGCTAACGGGCGGGCTAATAGGCTCTTTGCCTTCTGGCCCCCGACCCTAAAAAACACACCCTGGCCCTTCTTGTCAGTTTAGCAAGCTATCTAAACCCTGCCACGTGTACGGGCAGTGAGTGGCTCATTGGGTTTTGAGCTTTTTGGTGAGACCTAGTCTTGCGTCAATCACGTAATTCTTAATTTTGTATCTATTTAGTCCTTAAAGTTCTTAATTTGTTTCTATTTGATCTCACATAATTGACGCGTGATCAAAGACGTTAACTATTTTTTGTGGATGTTTGAAATTGGATTATATAGATACAATTAAGAATCTTAAAAACTAAATAGACGCAATAGGCATATTGGGGACCAATATGCTGTGTGTTAATATTTTGAGTGCTAAAAGTGTATTTTACCCTAATATTATTATGAATAGTATTATTTGAACTTAATTTATTAACCTAATTTACTATCGTCATTAAATTAATTGTTGATCCTATTAAACATTGGAAGTTAGTTTTAATCCAACTGTTACAATAAATCTATAAATATTAGGTCAATTTTTTAAGTCTAAATAATATTACTCGTATTATTATTACCTTGCTTGGGTGAGATTCCCTTCATTGGTTTTTCTCTGAATTTCTCTAAGAGGTAGATCACACATCTTAGTAAGTAACCTACTTGTACATAATCATAAATCTTTCTTGAATTGACGATAGATAATTTGTCTAAATATCAATAATGTTATTTAGACATAATTTGAAGATTTAATGAATTATGACCATTGAATTGATAGTAAAGCGTATTCAATGCTAGAATTCACCAGTATCATTGCTAATGAAAATTCAAAATCTTACCCAAATTTAAGTAAAGAAAAAGATAAAAGAACTTGATTTGGTATAGACTTCTCAAATGGAGAAATTAAAATTTAAAAAAAAAAAAATCCAAATTTAAAAAAGGACAAACTCTAATTTAAAATAAAATAAATATGATCATTTAATTTCTAAAAGATAGTGAAACCTCATCATCAAAGATTTGGGTTTAAAAAATAGTTTTCCTTGATTAGAGTTTTAAAAAGGGTTTCTCTTCATTTGTTATAGATATGGATTTAACATTGGAGAAATATTTTAGACTATTTTTACCCAAATTTAAATTTAAGTACAAAAAATGGTAAAAACTAGTGATGCTCTAACAATCTAACGACCAAAATCATTAAGTTCTCAAATTATATTTTTAAATTATGTTCTAATGACATTGCTCAAAAGATATGGGACAAACTTTATTTTCTAAATAATGATAAATGAATTTAAAAATTAGACTTAATAATCTCAACCAATAAATAAGTAGTTGGTCTTAATAAATACTATGACTCACAGTAAAATCAATGATTATAATTATAAAATTTAATTTTTAAATCAACTTTTTAAATCTATCTAATATTACACTTATTTTCTCCCTCGTAGATTGTCCTTTATGCACATTCTCTTCCTCAGATTTAAAAATAAGCACGTAACCTTCGTATGGAATGTGGATCAAAATGCACCACTAACTCTGTTAACAGACGTATTAAAATGACTTTAATGCCATTTTATATCTTCTTATTCCCCTCTTCCTTTTCCCGTCTTCTTTCGTTCACATGTGAACTGATGACACCCATCAACAACAAAATGGACTTCACCACAATCAACCAAACGAAAACCGAGTTAAGAAGCCTCCAATCAACCATCACCACCACAATCACTACACCTTCACCACAAAGTACCAAATAAGGCCCAGTTAAGAAATCAGTGGATACAAAATTAAGTAAACTAGATCAAACAGAGAATCACCTGTTTTCACAAGCAGTCGACGTCGTCGCTATGGTTTTATTTGCAAGGAGAAAATTAAAGTCTTGGATATAATCCACAGACAGAGAGGCGATGAATGGCGTATCAGAAGCAAGATGATTTACAAATGGTATTTTGAGCATCAGCCACCTTTAACGGTACATTAGGCATAAAGAGGATGGTGTCAATTGAACCGGAGAAGCAGGTGACGGTGACTTAACAACAAGGGATTACTGCAAGAAATTTTTGAAAAGCCGGCGTTTACAAAAGTCTAACAACCGTCGGCAAAACCCAACTCCGGCACCCCCGGCGTTCAGAGTATACGCTGCGTCGAAAAATCTCCTGGTATTTAAAAAATCGCCAACAAATGTATACTGACGATTTCACCGACGAAAAATAATCGTTGGCTTTATTGGCCGGATTTCAGTGACTGGAAAAATATT